TCTTTGGAAAACCAGCTCCGTTCTCAGAAAACTTTTTTTTGTTTTTCGCCTGTTACTAGCAAAAATTAAAATCCTTATATCTCGATCAAATCTCATGCTGACTCTAGGAAATTTTCAGAAAACGCTCAGGACAGCTCATAAAACATAATCGAAGACGAAAAAGGTGAATGTAAGCTGGGCATTGGCTTAAGGTTTTCTAGAAACCTTCTGAAAAACCTCAGAGCATCAGTGTTCTGCTGGATCACTTTTTCCGTGTGGTCAACAACATATGGTACCTTTTAAGCCTTTACTGAAAATTTCCTTGAGTCGCCGATAAATCAACTGTGAAAACGCGACCATTGTAAAATCTTTCAACTGAAACTAGTGAAATACAACTTTGTATTGTGGTAATCATACTCACCCTTTGATGAGATATACAGTCTTCTAGCTTGCCTAGTTGATTATTTAGTATTTTGTTCTGATTTTCTTATTTCCTTGAGAATCATTCAACAGATACTTGCCACTTGATAATCTTTCAACTGAAACTAGTGAAATACAACTTTGTATTCTGGTAATCATACTCACCCACACCCTCAAATACCTGGTACTGTGGTAGCTATACTCACCCTCAAGATACCTGCTGTCTCTCTCACTCTTGACCACATCAGTTTCATCAATTGCCAATTCAATCTTTGATGTTAAAAACGTTCACATCGAACATCTATTATCAAGATAATACGTGTCACGCTAAATAAATATATTTATTTAACACGGGCACACACACAAGTCTATGAATAACATCATCTTAATTACATAAAATAAGAGATGACAAATATCTATGTCTATATATTAAAAGGATTTGACAACATGTATAATCGTTTATATTGTCTGTCAATGGTACTAGAAAGCGAAGCGAAACCAACGGCAATATCAAAAATAAAGCATTCAGAAACGAAAAAAAAAAGAAATAAAGAGAGACACAGCAGAAAGACACAGACAGACATGTTTCGTTTATCAAAACAACACATATCGTACAAAACGAAAAAAGTCAAAAAAACACCTACTCTACAGTCATTTACTTTCTGACCCCTCACATTTCACTCCCATACGAAACCATGATTAAAAAACATACTTTATCATTATTCTCCCACACACTACCATCAATACCGCCACCACCATTCCTTTACTCTTCTCTTTATTTAGATGAAAATACACCCTCAATACCACCCGCTATCATATTCCCAATCAATAGAACAGGACTTACAGTAGCAACACTAACAAGTTCAATACCAGCCCCAGTTATAACAACAACATATCCTATTAAAGACGCAAGACCTTGAAATACATTAATAACACCATCAACAACTTTATTCGCCGCTTCCATTACACCTTTCCATAAACCTTTCCAAAAACCAGGAGTGCTACCACCTTTATTCGCACTTTCCACTCTACCTATTCCTGATCCCACATCACTCACACTTAACTGTAACGGCTTTTTTTCTTCTTGCTTCAACATACAATGGTCGTTTATGAACTTAAAGAGTTTTTTACGCATTTCCTTTTTTTCTTCTTCATCACCTTCATTCATTTCGTCAATAATCATAAAATCTTTCATTGCCAAACTTATTTTTACGTTACTGCACCCTTGCACCAACGCTGCAACACCTTGTGACACCAATTCAACGAATCTTTCTAAGTATTCATTTCTGTCTACGACCTTTGGTGGTTTGTTTATTACATGTATGATCGATGAATACGGAAACTCGTACGCTACGTAAAGATATTTAAACGCTAATACATCGGTTGCCAATGGACGTCCACCCACCGCTCCCGTCCACACAAACATCACCAACGAGATTGGTGTCTCGTTGAACGCTTTCCGGATTTCCTTTATATTACGATCGATTTTCGTTTGATCCAGCTCCACTAAGCCCGACACATCGTACATACGCCAACGATCCGACCCTGAGGGTGGGCACACTTCATAGTATTTTGATTCAGCGGTCACCGAGTCCGCCTGCGCTCCTGACTTAAATATTTCTTGACCAATCAGCATATTCATTAGATAACTCTTCCCTACGCCAGTATTACCTAAAGGGATTATACCACGACAATTTCCTGCACCGGCCATATTCTGCTTTGACAAATAATACTTTCTTCAAATCTAAAATAAACATACATACCAAAAACAAATATTCAATCACTTTCATCTACAACTTCCACACTATTTGAGGATGAGGTTTTCTTCATCCTCAATTTCAGCAAAAGATTTCACCAGAAAAATCGAACATTCCCTATCCAATGGGCTCAATTTTATTTTTCTTTCTTTATTGATTTCAAACAAGACTGCATTCAAAGATATATGTTCATCTTCCTCCATCAGACCCTGTCTGTCTGTCCTTTCAATCTCATCATTTAAAAGCGTTTCTTTAGTTTCTCGTCACTTCTTCATACCAAAAAAATGTCCAACCAGAAATCTGTAAAATTTAGCAACATCAGTATTTCTAATTTTTCTCTTCCTTCTCCTCCTCTTCTTCATACACTGACCCACACACCTTCACACCTACATATCCGATTCAATTCAATATCACATTATTCGACCTGACACCTTGAAAAATTCCAATATTTACAGTCATTGCTTTCTAATACGTACACGTGTGTGTCAACATCTTCTGTTCTTTCACATTTTTAGTGTACTCAAAATAGTGAGTATAGCTACTAGAATCGGTCTGTGTGTTCGTCCGTCCATCCGTCCGTCCGTCCGTTTACACGATAACTTTTCACAATTACATCCAACTGAGCTGAAAGGACGGGGGCGCTTAAGACCAGAAATCGGCCCCCCTCCAAAATGGACTTTTGATGTTCTTAACTGTGAATTGGAATGTGATTAGTTGATTTCTATCAAAATCAGATCATTCCAGCTTATCTCGGATGCTCACGATCGATTCTCGAAATGTCACTTTTATGAGCACCGTCCGTGTCCACTATTTGACTCGTTTCTTTAGCACTACAAGCATCTTTCAAGTCGATCTATACATCATCTGAAAGCCCTTTCTTTTCTCTATCGAATGATGTATTCAGGTGTAGTTGGTTGTTCTTCTTTCGCTTTTTTCTGTGTGCAACAATGTTCATGCTTGAGGTTTCTTACTGCACCCCTCCTGGCAAACTCGATCTGCTGCGTTCTGTAAACAATCTTCGCCCAGGCCAAATTATAGCTCATTCGATAGCCCTTTGAAAGCTCTACACGAGGATAGAAGAAGACCCCAGAATATTCGTGGACAAGGGACCTTCCTGTGGTCCGGAGTGTCGGCGACACTGATAAAGCTGCGTTTTTACTACAATGCAGGACTGATTCTCAGTGGATAAGTGATATTTCAGAAGGAAAGAGACCCAGATTCGGAATCAGCATGAAAAACTGAGTCGGGGGATGTCCCTCCCGAAAGTCAGCGACGACTCTCATTTTTCTCGACAAATTCACCCCTGGTACCCCTCAGGGACAGACCAAAAAGTGAAATCGGTCAGATCACGTTCTTTTACTATCCAGAATAGCTCAATTAGCTCAAAAATACGAAAACAATTGAAAGACCCACTCAATTTGCAAACTAAGAAGGTTTGCTGATGGTTTCATTTTTGGACCTGTCCCTGAGGGATACCAGGGGTGAATTTGTCGAGAAAAATGAGAGTCGTCGCT